GTCTGACATAGTTCAAGATCAATGTGTTTGACCATCAGTTTTTGTCTCAATAGTTTATTTAAAGGTCTTATGTAAAAATGTTTGAGTAATCATTTATTATTAGTCTGTCTGTTTCTCCAAAGCTCAGTTTTCAATTAATGTCTACCTTCTACCTTTAGTTCAGTAGAGATTGGCAATTCCAGGGCTGAAATGATCCAAATGATTCTAGTGAAAGTGTACAGACATTAGGCATATGGGTGTTAAGAATGTTGTGATGTGAACTCAGTCCATGTAGTTATTAGTATGGCAATGTTCAGAGAAATGCTAATCTTAAATGGAAAACAGCCGTCACCCTTCCTTCTGTGAACCAGGAATGAGTCACTCCACCTCCAAGCAGCCTCATCCTATCGACTTCCTTCCTTCCCAAAATATTCCAAGTTTTTTATAAAGATCTGCCTTTGTAGAATTTTAACTGAATTTGAATATCTATGACTTACTATAACAAACTGGAAAACCTTCTGTAACTGCTTTTCTTCATCGAGATATTATTGCTTTGTCTGGAATGTTTCACAGTATGGCATTAATAAACTTTCTATCTTTATGGAGACCAAACCAGATCAAGTTAAAGGTCAGATCTGTGGAAAGGCGACCCCGCTATCAGTCAGAATGCTGTTTTTCTATTGTAGGAGCCATTCGTGGGTTTTCTATTGGTTTCCTCACGTGAGTAATGTGCACTATACTGCGGTGTCTGGGGGTGGCACGGTGGGTGTGGTGTGGCCTATATATGAGCGCGCTCACCTGTTGAGTGTAAGGCCTTGGATCATGGTGGCGGGGTGAGCACGGAGAGCAACTTTCTGTTGACCGTATTTTAACAGGAAAGATTTGCATATAGAAGGTATCGGTGCATGGCTACGGACGGCAGCAGCTTTAAAGTAAGTGCTCTAACGCGTATGCCTACTATGACAAACAAGTACCGTGTATATGCATTTGTTCCGAGTTACGTGTCCACAGTGTTTTACCCCGTGTCTTAGCCCGCCGCGGCGTGTGGGATAAGCATTGGGCTACATACGCCGCAATATCTATGTATTTTTTGAGTTATAACACTACCTGTAATTGAATAAATGTAAGGTAGAGCTGTTTGATGTCATACTGTGAAACATTCCAGGCAGACTAATGACATGTCCATAGAAACAAGCAGGTGACGGACCCCCAACCAAAAAGTGACATAGTGGAAAATTATTTAGAACCCAATATAACCATCGCTGAATGACAACAGAGGCCTTTTGACATATGATGAAACAGATCATTTTTCAATCAAACGATGTATAGGTAAATAGATATACATTTGAATTCATATTTGAACACATGTATTCCTCTGATCTCTGACAGTGTGAGCCATCCATGCGGCTGGAGAAGCGTCGCAATCGAATAAAGGAGTATGTGAAAGGCGGTCGAGACCTGGCGAAGTGGAACACTTTTGTGGCTTTGGAGACTTATCTTCAGGTTTGCCTATCATTTTACAGAAGGATAAATATAATTCCCTTAATTTAATCTTTATTTTTCTGTTAGCAAGTAAAGCATTCACCATTTACTCACCAGTGGTTTTATTAGAGTGATTAGTCCATGTTTAAGTAATTTTTAATCACTTATATTCAAAACACCATATTGCCGATCAATCCGTTTTTACTGGCCAGGCTGGCGCCACCTAGTGTCTCCACTCAATTTCATTTCTCTCCAGCAACTAGGTCAGGAATCGGAATACACTAGACAGTTTGCAAGAACCCGGAAGTTGTAGACCACGCACCGGGCAATCAGTGAAGCCTTGATTGGGTCCCTTTTATGGTGCAGCACAACAGTAAACAAAGCGGTCGAGATGGATGTAGATGAAGATATACATTTTGTGTTGGCATCGATTCCCAAGATCAAGGATTTAAATCCTAATGCTGCGAGGTCAGACAGTTTCCACGAAGTGAAACCGACTAATGAATCAGGCTGTTTTTACTGTCACCGACATTTGCTCTGTACAGCTCTGTACTTTCTTCACTCTCCAGTTTTATTTTGAAAAAGTCAAAATAGTAAATTTTTGATGGCATGATGAGAGTTGCCAACTCTTTGTTTTGATGACGTTTACAGTGACGTCAGCTCCCACTGGGCACCACGTATTACAATTTAAAAACACAGTGGAGCACCTGCATTACAACATGGAATCACAAGGTGTTTCCATGTGTTGCAGGGTTTGTGTATTACTCCAGGTATGTTTTTGATGAGGAAACAACATTGTACCATAGATCAGAAAATAGTGCAGTATGGGCCCTTTAATTCTCTAATCACTTAAAAATATATATCATATATTGTTGACCTTTATAAATCTACCACTAATAATTTACCTACTGATTATTTTCATGCATTTCTCTTTTGCAGCTCCAAGAGAAGTTTGGCTGGGACTCCATTAAAAAGGTATTCGCTGCCTACCACACAATGACCAATGTGCCCAAGAACAACAAAGACAAGATGAACCTGTACTGTGTGACCTTCTCTGAGACTGTGAGCAAGAATCTGAGCGGGTTTTTCAAGGCCTGGGGTTGGCCAATAGAGGACGCCACTGAGCAGAAACTCTCCAGGTTGCCAGCCTGGACCGACCACCCCATGACCCAGTACAAGTGATACTGGTTGAAATCTGTGTAAAACTGGTGTTGGGTTTGAAGTCTACAAACAAATTTGACATGAAGGATAATAAGACATGATAAGAAATGTTATAAAAATGCTGCATTGTCTAGTTTGTTTTTCAGATATAGTTTAAAGGGGCACTATGTAACTTTTCTAGTGGAGGGTTTGCTATTTTGTACCAAGAATATTTCATTAAACGTGTGCACTACTGTATCTCCATGAGGACAAGCAGAATCTGTGGAGTGTACAATATTTTTCGAGGTATTTTTGAACACGAAAAACACCCATAACTCTATAAATCCAGGTAAAGCAATAAGATACGGAGACAAACAGTGCCCTCGCCAGAAAAGTGACATAGTGCACCTTTATTTTAAGGAACTGTTAACTGTTGGAAACAAAAAAAGATGTACTGTACCTGTCAAACGTTGCTTGGTTAGGAGACTGAACTGTCATTTTTTGTCATCAACATTCTTACAATAAAAATAACATAGAATATAATTTAGTAGCTTTAAAGTAAGTTGAAAATGACACCAAGTGGTCGTCACTCATAGTCAATGGAGATTTAGGCCTCATCATTTCATTCTTGGTTGGGGAGGGCATCAGAGAAACTATAATGGGGTTCAGTGCACCAAGGACAATGCCTAGATAATCCCATCAAACACTCACCCATATACATTTACTCAGAGCAATACACACAACCACTGTGTTGAGATGGACTGAGAGTGTAGTTTAATGCTACCACTAATGCATGACAGACTCAAAAGTGTCTTGCCCAAGAGCATAACAGTGAGGGATTGTAACTTATACTCCTGTCCTCTAATCTGGGAGTTTTTTTAGGCCTACTTGAGGAATAATACAGACCACTTTATAATAACTTCAAAAACTGGGCTGGAATCCACGAGTCCAGAATGATGAAAAGATAGGAACATTGCCATAGTAATTAAACAATTCACAATTAAATATTATATTTTTTTAATGGTCAGTTGTCCTCAAAATGGCACCACGTAGTAAGGTTATGAATACCTGGATTCACATTCAAGGAGTCTTCAATATCAAGGTTTTTACAGTATTTATTATTGAAAAAGTAACAGTCCTGGCAAGTGTCTTTATTAATAAATTACTACATCAGTTATTATCATTACATATCTACATAACTGGTGGACTTAGGCCTGTCACCATAAATATTAAATCGACTTATTACTCAGTAAATGACAGTGTGCCACTCAGGTGACCAGATTTTCAAAATTAAAAACTGCGACATCCCCGTTTTTGGTGGTTGGTAACAATAAAATTGTCAAAACACTGTTATGCAGACCATTCATGACTAACATGTGAGCCAGTATAGCCCCATTTTCTTTGTGTCATTTTTAAGCAACTTTTCTATATTTTACCTCAACAGACAATGTATGCCTCTCTTTACTGTTGGAAAGTATCAGATTGATCAAAAATAGGGACACCTGGGACATCAATGTGACCCCGAGGAGAGCATGTGTTATGGCACAACAATGAAGGAAAAAAGGAGAATTTATTTTACAATGAGCAGAATGTGTGCTTGGAGCAGTTTGTCTGGAACAAGTTTTTCAGCCTGATCTCATAATGACTCCACGAGTTCTGGTTCAGTTTGGGGTTTTGGGGGATGACATTGGTCAGAGTGAAAGTGGCGTTACGGCTCAGGACTGTAAGAAAATAGTTGAAAATATAAAAGTTATAGGCTATGTGAATTTAAATGTGATGATGTGGTATTTGGTATGTCATCACAGCATTCTATAGGCCAATATTATATTATACAGATGGGGGCAGCTAAAATTAATATTGTTCAACTGCAGATTTGTGTTGTAATACAGCAGGTCTTGGTTCTAGTCTATAATAGAAATGATTAGGATCCATTTTGGAATTTCACTTTTCCAATATTGCATAGCAAAGCACAGTGTAATAAATAGGAAAAACTGTGTCTTTCCCCCATCTGGAAGTACAACATCTCACATTGTAGAATCTGAAAACCAGCAATGATGTAATTAGCCTGTGTTTTATCATTCAGTCAAGAATTTACTTTGCAATAGGCTACAGCAGCAATAGAAACTTCAAAACAAATCACTTTGGGGTAACACTTAAAACAACTACACCTTATAAAGCATGAAGAAAGACTTAATTACTAATGAGCAAACTGTTAATTAAGAAGCCTAAATGAGCTATTTTGTTACTATTAATTAACTATTGTTTTTTATGAATTAAGTCTTTCTTCATGCTTTACTAAAGCTAATTAAGGTGAAGTTAGCGCTTGGTAAGTTCACCATGTATAATTATTTACTACATGTTTATTACTGCCAAATCACACTTGTCACGTGGTCCCTGGGCTGCAGTTGGCCCCCAAGTGTTTTAGGTGTTATCAATACATTGCTTTCAGAATGAGGAAAAATGACAACTGTTGCCATAGTGATTAACAATTACAACAAAACAATACACTATCTTGATTGTGAGGCCTTTCAATACAGTATTGCTTCTAACTGAGAAGATGAAACCCATGAATGCTCTGCTGCCCTCTGCTGGCCATGCCCCTGTATAACCCGTACAGCGCCTGATTCTCTCCCAGATACACCCCAGGGTGGTCCTGTCGCAGCCTGGACGTGGTGTTCATCTCAGCCTGCCAACTACTGTTCACCAGCTGAAACAACCAGTATCAAATATCCATGTTTATAGTGTACCATGCAGAATCACAAAGGTGGGTAGCATATTTACTGTAAGTAACTCTTTCCTCTGTAAGTAAATTACAAGTGACAAATGTTTTCTGTTGACAAGATGAATTCCTTTCCCCATATATATTTTATTTTCTTGGATCACTACTTTGTATTTTTACTGGAGTATTATTTTTGAATTAATGGTGCTACTTGAGTACATTTTTGGGCTACTCAACCTACTTCTCATCACTTGTAATACTGTATCATTTTAGTTTCAGTATTTAACATATTGTGAAATAAGTAGAATTGTGTAGAATCTTGCCAACCTGAGGCTCCACAAACCATCTCTCCTCTCTGCCTCCTCCGTTACTTGGTTGGAAGTAATAAGCAGAGTAAACAGGAATCCGGTGCTTGGTATCGTACAGAGTGGCAAAGTGGTACCTAAAGAAATTATTATTATTTCTAATACATAAAGAAGTATAACTGAATATACAGAATTTAAAGAAGTATAAGTGAATATACAGAATTTAAAGAAGTATAAGTGAATATACGTGTGAAGTGAACTAGCTGTATCATGTACTCCTGTTGACAAACCTGTTCACAAATCTCTGGCAGATTCGTGCAGCGTTGGGTGTAGAAGATCCCCAGTCAGGCACCATCTCTCCGTAGAAGAACTCCAGGCACCCGGGAGCATCCTCAACACAGTGACCAAGTACACAGAAAGTATCATTATTGTGATTTAATGCGTTTTTTAGAGTTGTAGTCAAGTTACATTTTTTCAAATCCCAGTCAGCTATGACCAGTAAGATTTGAGTTCAAGTCAAGTCCGAGTCATTAAAGAACAATTATTGTCCTTACGTCTGACACCCATGGATCATTATGTTCATCTAAAATAACTTTACAAAATAAACAAGTCCACTGACTTCTGTGTTCATAAACTGTGGTGCCCAATAGGAGCTCTTGTCTCCATAAACTTCATAACAACAAAAAAACGGCAGCTTTGAAGGATAACTACACATCACACTAGTGAGTGTCTTTGCTGCTGAATTATATGTGTATCACTGCCTAACAAAAGAAAAATTGAAGAACTAAGAGTACAGAGTGTGGGTGTGTACTGGTGGTGGTGAACAGGAGGACTGATCTGTCTGGTGTCTTGAAAATAAGCGATTAAAGATTGTATGCAGAAATCACTCCAAATTCAACTTCAAGAGGGTCAGTGACAAGGGAAACAACTATAACATGTTTAAAAGCTCTGAAAAGTCAATTTAGCAGAGTCGCATGGAGAGCATTCTTATTATTATTGTGTTATTCAGTGGGTGTTTTTACATCTTTAAGCTGACTTTGAATTTAAAGCCATCATTAAACACAATTTTAAAGGTTTTTTTAAAGGATATGGGAAGAGTCTAAGTTCAAGTCTATTGTTGTTCCATGAGTCTGAATCCTTTTCCTGAACCATGAGTCACTGCCCTCAAGTTATGTCATGTTAAAAAAGTAAAATAAATAAATAATAATAAATAAATAAAATAACAATATCAAATAAAAAAAATATTTACAGAATTTTTACCCTTCCATGCATTAAATGTCTTGTATGTATGTATGATTTAGTCCTGTATCAGTCTGTACAATTAAACCATTGAGAATGATTCACAGTTGTACCACTGCAGAAGTTACATTTTCTTATTTTTTGTCATTATAAATCGATTGATTATCAATGCTTTCAAAATAGAACCCCAGATGTCCTTAGTGATCTCTTAGTCAGTGCATAAAAATAGGGTCAAATCAAGAAGCCAAACTGGTGATACTGACCTCAAATCTCTCCACGACATCTGCACAGACCCAGCAGAGGAGTGAGAGAAGAGTGCACAGACCGACCAGCTTCCCCATTTTGAACAGAAGCACTGCTCCTTTCCTTAAAACATGTGTCATAATGTCTTTTCAATGCTTACAGTAATTATTACATCTGATAATAAAATAACTCAAGTAAAATAAAGCACTAAGTTCCTTCGCTCAATTTCATTTCTCTCCAGCGACTGGATCAGGAATCAGAATACACTAGACAGTTTGCAAGAACCAAGTGTGAGTTCGGGCACCAGCCAATCAGTGAAGAGACATACATTCTGTGTTGGCAACGATTCCCGAGAATGAGGATTTAAAGCTGGAACAAAGAGAATATTTTGTGAATTTTATCAAGATGTTATTGACCTTCTTCCTGTGGGATTTGGGAAAGGCTTAATATACCAGTTAGCCTCGTTAGGAGTGATTGGTTAAATGAAAAAAAGTACCCACCTACTGTCGAGCGAACAAATCGTAATGCTCCGAGGTCAGACAGTGTCTATCTACAATTGCAGTACAGCCAAAATCAACCAGACGTCCAGCCTAATTATGCACTCTCAAATACACTGTTAAGTTTCTGTAAATTGCATCAAGCCTTATAAAGCCTTATCTAGAGGAGCTCACTGTGGAGGTTGAGAGCTGCTGATGGCTCAGAGCAACAGCAGTGAATTGAACCCCTGCAGTGAAACTGAACGTTTGGTCTTCCTGTTATTTTAAGCTACTTTACTTTTTTGGAGCTTCCAGGTGAACGCTGTAGTAAATATGTATGATACTTAATGTGAATGATTGTGAATGATCCCCATGTATTGTGTGCTGGAGATGGTTGGCGGGGCCCTTGATCACAGCAGCTTCAGGCAGACTCTCTTGAGCAGTGGTCACCAACATGGTGCCTGTGGGCACCAGGTTGCCCTAAGGACTACGTGAGTCATCTGCAGGCTGGTTCTAAAAATAGCACAGCTCGTTATTGCGCTGCATCTAAAATGTAATTTTATTCTGTTTCTATTCTTTTTTTAATCACTCTTGAATTTATATAGATTTAAAAATGACAATATCTTAAAAATATGTTCATTATACATGTTGAGATAAGTGATTTAGATGAGCGATCAGTTCAGTTTATGCAAATTAACTTTCATTTCTGTAAAATGTAAACAACTGTGTGCAAAGCTGCATTAAAAAGGTTATAATCTCTCTAGCTCTATAGTGGTTATGGTTTATACGTTTTAAAGTTGAGTTTATTTATGCAGAAGATTTTAATTAAGAATTTGCTGCAGTGTACAACTTGTACAACAGTGTTTGGATCTGTGCAGTGTTCACTGGTTAGAAACCTCCCGAGCTTCCTATACTAAAGGAGCTCATGGTTGTTTGTGTTTTTCCTGATTTATTAAATATATAATTTTTGAACTTGTGCATTTGTAAGATTATGTCAAGAAACAGGGATACTACATTTATAACCAGGATAGTGATGTGCATGTAAACGCACTCAAAGAAACAGTGATGATAACTGCTAACAATCTACTTAAACATTTAACAATTACTAAGATTTATAAAGTTAATTAGTTAAAGTTAACAAGTTAAATTATTGCTGAATATTGATCTCTGTTTCCCACCTCACTGTCATTGTTGATCATTATTGTGAGAAATCATTAACATGATCAGTGTCTTCACATAGAAGATTATCATTAATCATTAACAATAATGTATAAGTAAAGATAAACTGAGCACATTTGTTATTTCAGAAGAGCGTTTCAAACTGGGAGCCATTTGTATGACCCAGTATCCATGAAGTAGCTCTCAGTTTCTCTTCCCCTTTGAAATGGAATTACTTTTTCTTAAAATTAACAAAATATTAAGGATATTTGAGTAAAATGCACAACTAGCTACAACCAACAAGGAAGTAACCACATTAATAACCTTAAAATAAAGATAGAAAAAGATTTGTACTTACTGAATATTCTTCTGACTTTTCAGGCAGACTGCTGTCAGTCTGTCCTAAGGGTCATTTATACTGCTGCTTATGCAACACCAGTGTAAGACATCTTTGTCCTTTCCCTTTTCAGTGGAATTAAACTGCAAATATTTAATTTAGTGTGAATTTTGTCCCTGATTCTGTTGAATCCATTAGGTATTTTCTTCCCTGTGTACTGCAGCAGTGACACTGTGGTATACTGAACTCCCAACCACAAACAGCTCATGTTACTACTATTTTTCTGACATAAAAAAGTTGAAAATGTCACAAGTATGGCACTTTAAAAGATAAAAAGATGACACAAAATAGCTTTTTATTATTTTCAAATCACCCCAATAACAGGCCTTTTATTCCGATGACTATGATCATTTTTAATGTTAAACTGTAATACATTTGACACATGAAAAGCAAAGGTTAAGAAATAAAGGTCTGACCTCAGTGCTTTCTATCTTAGTGTTGATTATTGTTGAATACATGAACTTACATTTATTTTTGTTGACTCTTTCTATCTCTAGCCTCTTGTGTTGAAAACATCATTTATTTTCTATCCATTTACCCTTCGGAGAACTGCCTGAACAGGGCTTCTGATTGGCTGTCTCTGAAACTGGGCACAAAGTGAATGTGAAGTATCTCAGAAAATCCCTCTGAAAGCGTAGGAGCCACAAAGTGTTTCCTGTTGAAGATACAAAAAACATCATTAAAGATTATGTATAGTTTGAAGCCAAGCCAACAGTACCTGCCTGACCTTTCTCCAGGGAGAGGACTGACAGACTCTTTCACCAATTAGAAAATGAAAACTTCAAAAACATTATGTCAAGATGCAAAAATCCAGTGGGAAACATATAAACTGTAAACTGTTCATGTTTGTAAAGACTAAAAAAATAAAAATAAAAATGCAGTGGCAATTGTCTTGTTTCAGTCATTGAATTAATTTAATTAGTTGATTAAAGGTTCTGTGTTACTCAAAACTGACTCTTTCCAGGGCTGTAATTATCCAGATGATTCTAGTGAAGGTGTATGGAGTTTAGAAACATAATGGAGCACTTCCTGTAACAGAGTGTTTTCCTTCTGAGAGAAGAATTCTAAATATGCAGGGTTTGTGTGAATGAAACAAAACACAACTATGTTTGTTATGTGTTTCATCTTGTATCATGGAGCTTGTTTAATCATAAGTCATCTTTCACACCATCCTCATCAACAAAATAATTAAAGGTATGAGTTCTTTTTAGAGCCTTCTTTAATTATTCAATGTATCCCAATTTTTTACCAGAATTTTTATTAGTTTCAAGTTATTTATTATAATATACTGGTTCTTATAATATCTGTGGGTTTATTGTTAAATAATTTGTACCTCCTCTCTGAATCCTTTGTTTTCAATTTTATAAATAGTCTGTAAACTTTGCTGTGTATGTTACAGATGCCTATCACTTTGAGGGGAAAGAAAGTGACATAGTAGCGTTTATGAAATCTGGAGGGGGGGTGCTTATGGGTGGGCAGGCCTGGCACTGGGCATCGCAGCATCCCCGAGACAACGTCCTGCTACAATTTAGTGGGAACAAAGTGTCTGGAGTGGCTGGTATCTACTTCACTAAGCATCACAAAGAAGGGGAGTGTGTGGCCGTAGATCCACAGATCCCACAATCCTGGAGAACTGCCAAGTAAGTGGCGCAATACAGATCTATACAATAATTTGTTATAAAAAAAAAACAAAACAAAACATTAGTCTTAAATAGCGTTTTTCCAGACACTCAAAGTTGCTTTACAATTTGGTATTTTAATCATTTACTCTATCCTTATACACACACTTATACAGAAAATTGCATTGTTAGAGGCATTGCAGGGGGCCCTCAAAGGTTGTTCACTAAACAAGCATAAAAGGAAAGTACAACTGTATACAGGAATGGACTGTGACAAAAAAAAACAACAACCCTGGACTTTTCCCCCACATGGCCGATAGACCTGTACAACTTTTACCACATCTAGGTGCCTTTATATTTTGACTTAGACTTAACGCAGTTTTTAAACAAAATGAGGGAGCCATAAAGATTACGTAGGATTTACCTACTCCTCCCAAAGTAAAGGTTACTCTACAAGTTTCTAGGATTTGCAGTAATAGTGTTTGTTTGTTTTTTTATTTTCATGTATTGTTATTAAGTCTGTATGTGCATTAATAAATAATTCATGGTATTAAATAATTTTGTTTTTCAGAGTCTGTAAAGACTTCAAGGATGACTTGGAGTTTTTGCTTCAGGGAGTGACTGAGTTTGACATAGGTGACGGGACATTTTCAGAGATCTTCATTCACGGACCACTGTCTTTCCCCATCACCACCAAACCAGAGGGAGGAACCCTGATCGCAGGAGGCTACTATGGAAAAGGCCGGGTTATAGTGGCTTCACATGAAGGACTGTTTGGAAAACCGGTAAGGCCTGGAAATACTGTATGTAATAATAATAATAATGATAATGCATTTTGATGATGCAGACAAATCTCAAAGTGCTACACAAGAGGTAAACACACAAGAAACAGCGCAACAACAGTATTTTGTTTTGAGAGAAGTTAAAGGTGCACTGTGTAACTTTTTTTGGTGGAAGGTCTGTTACCAGCTCTCTCCATGGAGATGTTGCCTGGAATGTTCCACAGCTTGGCATTACACTTATTTATCTTTATGGAGACAGCAGGTGAGACCATAGGGCCAAGTTAGATGTCAGATCTGTGGAAAGGTGAGCCCACTTACAACAAGAATGTTTTTAAGTAAATGAAAACCCATGTTATTGAATAATTGCATGATGGGTACGATGTGGATTTTGTGCCATACCGGGACATTCCAGACAAAGCAACACTATCTCCATGGAGACAAGCAGATGACAAACCCTCCTCCAGAAAAGTTACACAGAGCACCTTTAACATATTCACATATTGTTTGTAATGTTTACAAGTAGTGCAACAAAACTAGAACATACATTAGTATTCTAAGTATAGCTCATTTACACCTGCATGATAATATAAAGGACAAGTATTAAGTGTAAGTGTTGGTGGACTGCAGGGATCTTACCAATACTTACCTTTGTATACATGTTTAATGTTTTTTTTTGCCAGTTTTCTTGTTAAAATATTTGCAGAACATGCAGATGATAGTGAAATGGCTTTGACTTTGTGTTATTCACAGTTTAACTTTTGAATATGTCAATGCTCACAATGCATTAACAAACAAACATATAATATCTTTGTATCTTTTCTGTGTATATATTGTGGACATTTCTGATGGTATTGTAAGTGTACTATCTGTTGGATCATGTTAAGTGGATGTTTAAGGGTCCTATATTATGCACAATTGTTTTAAGACATGTAAGATATAATGTTACCTCATCAAAAACATGCTGGGAGTTGTGTTAACAGCAAGTTAACAGCTACATTTTACCTTTTGTTCAGCAAAAAATTATTAAAGCTGAAATTATCCAGATGATTCTAGTAAAGGTGTATCAAGTTTTAAAAACACAGTGGAGTACTTCCTGCATAACCACATGACATCACAGGGTGGAATAGAGTGTTTTTTGTTTGAGAGTCAGCCTAAATACACAGGATTTGTGTGTCAAACATGTGTGAATGAAACAAAACACAACTCCAGGTCTGTTTTTTATGAGGAAACAACATTATAACACAGATTAGAAAATAGCGTAATATAGGCCCTTTAATGATTTAAATGTCTACTTTCATAATTGTTCACTTTGTATCTCACTATTGTCCCACAGAAGCTGGCTCATTTCTGGAAAAACGCTGTGCACTGGTTGGATCAAGGCCGACTGGGAGTGATTGGTGTTGAAGCCAATATAGCCTTCAACATTCTTTCAGAATCAGGGTTAAACTGTCAAAAATCAGGTTTTAAGAAGGGCCTGAGTGTGTTTGTGCGCACAGTCTATGGAGGAGATCACATAAAGGAGATCCAGGAGTTTGTGGCTGAAGGAGGAGGCCTGCTGATCGGAGGACATGCTTGGTACTGGGCCCAGACACACCCAGGGCAAAACTCTCTCACTGAGTTTTCAGGTTCATCCTCTTCTAATTTACTAACTAATTATATGTGGTTAAATAAGTACAGGGCAAATAATAAAAGCTATTTAAAGGTTCTATATCACGCAAACTCTTGTGAGCTGTAATCAATTTTAGAATGTTGTCACCTCCTCAGAAACAGACCTGGAGTTGTGTTTTGTTTCATTCACACATGTTTGAGTAACTCTTTATTATTTAGTCTCTTGTTCACATCTCCAAAGCTCAAAGTGCTCTGTTCCACCTTGTGATGTCATGTAGTGGTAGTTTTCAAGTTAACAGCTCCTTTTACCTTTTGTCCAGTAGAGATTGGCAATTCCAGGGCTGAAATTATCCAAATTATTCTAGTTAAGGTGTATGGAGTTTAAAAACACAGTGGAGCATTTCCTGTGTTACCAGATGACGTGTGAGAGAAGAATGCACCCTAAATATGCAGGGTGTTTGTGTTAAACATGTGTGAATGAAACAAAACACAACTCTAGGTCTGTTTGTGATGAGGAAACAACATCATAACGTAAATCAGAAAAGTGCGTAATATGGGCCCTTTAATATCCAACTTGATGAAATAAAAATCAATAGTTGTTTATTGACTCTCTGTATGCTGTTTTAAAGGAAACAAGATCTTGAACCCCATGGGCCTGACTTTGTTGCCTGGAACAGTTGGAGGGGGTCTTTTCAAAACCCCAGACCCCGCCACTGTGATCAAAGACAACTACCACTTCCGCTACCTCCTGTACCGCTTCGCTAAACATGTGGCTGAGAACAAACAAATAACCCCACATGAGGAAAAGTGCCTAAAGAAACTGGGAGGTGACTGTGCCCATATCCTGCACATGAACAACTACGAATGCTGTTCACATCTGCAGCTAGTGCCCATGCTCACCAAAATCCTGAAAGAGACTGGAATTCCACAGGTACTAAGTTTAGAAATACAATATACTTTTACCACACAATGAAATAAGAAAGCTGTTAAAGGTGCACTGTGTAACTTTGGTGAAGTCTGCCACCTGCTTGTCTCCAAGGATATGATATTGTTTGAGAAGCAAGTGACAGATTTA